TTTTTGTCTTTTTCATTTCACACGAGTCATTCAGTTGGAATTCTATCTCACTTGTCCTCTGACCAGTAACCTGTAGGAGCTATGCTTATATTATATTGAGCAGTTCATATTATTTTACCGTTTGGGACCTTGCAATTTTGAAGTCATAAGCTTGTTTATTATTCTAGTAGAGTTGATCAAATCTTTGGAAAACAAACTTGGCAGGCTCAAAGAGAAAGATTCAAATCCCTCTCTATGTTCGGAACACTTGTATCCCCTAAGCTTCGTGCAACTCAACTGTCATTCGAGACAGGTATTAAAATGCTTTTGTTTCCCTTGAGCTTGCGAATTCGGGGCCTAATCTGACGTAGATGATTTTATTAAATCAAAGTGTGCTTATATATAATGTGCTGAATTCTACTGTTTAATTCATGCTCCGGAAATTTTTGGTAGCTCTGGAAATGCTAATAGAGATAGCAAACATGAGAGCCTCTTTGCTGTGCGCTTACAACCAAGTGCTGCATGATCAGAAGACGGCCAAATGATGCCTAGCATTCAAATTATTTTGTGGTTTAATTGTTTTGGTCATTTTTTTCCCTAGACCACGTGATGTGATTTTGTTAGGAAAACTAGTATGCGGTTCACACAGGAAAACAATATTACGATTATTTATCTCATGTTTGGAGTGATTATCTCCCTATTTTCTTTTCTTCTTTCTTTGATGTAGTACCTAACTTGTTTAGTATCTAACCTTAGTATCTGATTGTATTGATCTTGTTATAAACACAAAAAAAAAAAAAAAAAAAAAAATGATCATGCTCTACCTACTTTTTTTTCTAAACCGGACAAAACAGTCTGACTAGACAGAAAGGGAACCGGCCTGGCGGCCGATCGTATTCGGTTGAATAAAACATTTGCTAGCTAATTAGTCAGCATTAGCCAGTCGGATCCGATTTTTCAATTTATTATGTTGTATTTAAAAGTATTTTTGATAAAAATAATTACACATATTTAAATAAATGGAGATTTATAAATTACATAAACGATTAATAAAAACATTTTAATGTTTCAGATTATTTTAATATTGAATTGTTGTTTTTGTATAAATCTATTACAGAAAGTACATTATGTATTAAAATATATATATATATATAATAAATTTTAGTCCAATCAGCGAATTATTTAACAAATAAGCTGATCGATTCGGTTCGGTTATGAAAATCTTAGATTTATCGTATATTATTAAAAATTAAAAGTTGTAATCTGATATCATTTTGTTCATAGAAATATTAACAAAATGATTTATAAATATTTATAAATCATCAAACATATTATCATAAAAGCATTAATAATTAATATGATTATTTGGAGTTTGGACTACATTAAGAGTTGATTTTTTCCACATGCACCAATCTAAAATTGAAATATTATAAATTATGGGTATATGTAACTAGTACGTACCACGTGCGATGCACGAGCTGTATTATTCTTAGGGCATATTATAAATTGAAGTGCATTAATAAATAAAAAAAATAAAATATTATAAATCTATTACTATATAATGCGGCTAAGAAAAATTATTCAAAAAATTCGAAAAAAATTATTTCATTTTCCCGCTTCATATTCCCACTTTTTTTTTCGTTTTCTACTTTATTCGGTAAAGTTTTTTGAATTTTTTTCATAATCCCGCTTACATTTCAATTGTAATTTATTTGGACGTATATATGTGGAAGGGAGTTAGTATAAATCGGATATTTCTTATATATATATAAATATACTAGATTGGACTCGGCTGTGCACGCACAGCCGGCCCTAGTTCAGTCTATAATTATATCTAGTATTTGTAAAAATTTTAAAACACACTTACCCACATTTTATGGAGCAACCAAAATGCCACATATTTTTTTGTTTGTTCAAAATGTTTTTCACAAATATTTTTTTTTCCAACAATTTTTTTACCACTCTTTTGACTCATTTGTTTGTAACATTCAAACAAATTTCTCAAAATAATTTACACTCTAAACCATTCTCATTCCTCAGTTTATTTTGTAGGTGTACCATAAAATTGTCAATTTTTATACCCTATGTTTTATTAGGTTCTGATAAAAATTGGCCCAATTTGTTTTGGCAGCTCATTTTGGCCCAGTATGTATACATATATTTGTACTTGTCTGAAAGGAGAAAATGTCCTACTTTGTCAAAGTGCGTCGTTCTCGTATTCTCCGTTTCGTTGTTCATCACTTGTCCCAAAAATCATGTGGTAGTCAGAGTTGTATAAGACAACCTAGAATGTCCATAAAAGTCGGCTGGCAACGCAATCCAAAAGTAATCTCTAATAGGCGTGCACAATGCATAGCTCATAACACAACTAAAACACGTTTTTCATCAAAAGTATGTACAATTTCAGCAATTAGTTGCGAGGCTTCTTCATGGGGTGGATGGGACCGCTGAAGTGCTCGAACTGCCAGTGTCGCTGCAGGATGCATGGGCACAGGTGTTGTCTATTGGAGGATTGGAGGAGGAAGTAGCAGTGCCATCCAAACGGCAACACGCGTGCTGCGTTTGTCCTTGAGGGATCTGGTATATTAATATTCATGGCGGCGCTTCCATATTCTTCTAGTCATGCCTTGGTGCTTGGTGTAAATAGCTGAATATCAGGCTCCTCGTGTTGGCCATTTGAAACAGAATGTTATGAATACATTGTTTGGAC